AAAAGTCCTCTGGTCAGGTTCACCTATGTGCATGTGCTGTGTGTAGGTAGGGGATGGAGGTGTGCCTCAAGCCTCTAGAAAGTTTAAAGTTACAAAGAGAATGTCCAATTACCTTCTGAAAATGGAAAATAATTGCTCTTCTAAGCTTGAACTTTAACATTAGAACTTCCAGACTAAAGATTATGTAAGGCTGTTTACTATCTGCATCCTCTAAAAGGAAGACACATGAGAATCCCAGGCTCATCTTCAAAAGTTATTTTCCTACTAAGGCTTTGGGAATGTGCTGTTGACCAGAAGTTTTTTGGGATAAATAACTAAAAAGGACATTTGATCTTCACCACGATCATTAACTTAACCCCTAAATCTGGGGAGCATCTTCATGAATTCCAAATGTCTTAAGTAACCCAGAACAAAGCAAAGACAACTCCCAGATTTAGTCTGAGTTAAAACACATAATATGGCATTGGGAATGCAAAACACTGAGACCAAAAAAAGGGGCGGGGGGTTGAGGGTGTTAGACACTGAGCGGACAGAAATAGATTGGCATAAACAGAGACTTGGTTGGGGGCTTTTAGAAAATTGACTATAACTTAAAAAGAAAACTATGATCAGATGAGTAAGCTTAAGGTGATAAAAGGAACCCAAGGCATCCCAATTATTTCTGTTATTGCCATCATACGTATCAGAAAACAGGCAAGAGGAGACTTGCCCGTGTACTTTCATCCAAGTGAGCAAATGCGTATCTGAGTGAGTGAGGCAGGACTACTGGGTTCTAATTTACTGCTTGTGTTTCCTCCACCAACATTTCATTTGAAATTTTATTAAAAAAATATAAACTATACAGCAGAGTTTAAAGAAGTTTACAGAGAGTATTGGTATGCGTATCATGATTCTAGATTAACGCTTGTTGGGTTTGTTTTATGTAAGTATTTATCCATTCCATTGACCACCTATTTTTCCCCATGGATTTAATAGTAAATTGTAATTGTCTGTATACTTCCCCCTCTAAATATTGCAGAATACATAAACAACTCACTGGAGTTCGGTATTTGCTTATAGGTTTGCCGTATTTCAAGCCCTATTTAAAACGGTGAGGTGCAGCCTCTGAAGACAGACCGGGAGATGTCTTTAGCATGTGGCTTCACAATTAACAAAAGCCTCTCAGGCTGATTTTATTTTTAATCAGTTCTAATATCCACTTTCAAATTCAGTGTTCAAGTAGAAACCTTTAGTTCAGACAAGAGAATTGTCTCAATATATTTTGAATATATCTGCTCCTCATTTCTTGACTATCTCATTATCAGAGATTTTGCATTACAACCAAAGTAAAAAATCTATCCAACCATCTTGCACATTTTATTCATGGTGTATGCCTGGCAGTAATGAACGCTCAGGTGTGAAGCAAAAGTCCCTCTCGCTGCGATGGTTGTGGTTGTGTATCAATTTGGCTAGGTAATGATTCTCACTGGTTTGGCAGTTATGTACTGATATAGTAATCCTATTTTGTGAACTGATGTGATCATTCTCATTTGCATATAATGCCATTTTCACATAATGACCTGTATTTAGATCCCAACCATGTCTGTGAGGAGTGAATGTATAAGCAAATACTATTCTCTCAACTTAGTATGAAAGGAAGAACAGAGACCAAGATGAGTAAAGGTGTCCAGAAGAGGCCAGTAATTTCATTGTTTTGGAGAACTTCTGTTACAAATAGCTTATCAGGAAAAATGTGTGTGGGTAAAATTACCTTCCCATTTATCACCATCAGAAACATTCTTCAGATCTAAATGTGGAATTTGGACACATGCTGCTTCCCCTTGAACACCAACACTTTGACCTCCTGGCACTTCTGATTCAGTGTTGGCATTCAAATCACAAATCTTGCTACTAGACTCCTGTATTTTAAAATAAAGAATACATTTCACAACCACAAAGCTTTTTACACTCAGATTAAACGACAAGTAGCACATATACATGTGAGTCCTCACTAACTTATGATGCCTATAAAGCCAAATGGTACACTTTTACCATGTAAACTATTTTCAAATACAAATATGCAATTTTAAAATAAGTTTTACTGGAAATTGACAAAGTTTATATTCCAAATTAAGAAAAGTATTTCCATAACCAAGTATGATATGGCATACTGAGGTTGCTGCTTAAGTGTGAAACATTTAGTAAGAGTAGTTGTATTTTAATCTCTTAAGCCAATTCAACCCATATTCATATTTTTAATATCATCAACATTTTAAGATAGTAATTCTTACCAGAATCAAGTGTGATAATGTACCACTGTCAAATGACAAATATTCTTTCCTAAAAATATAAGCAAAGTTATTAGTGTTTTAAGAATAAGATGGTTATTAGCATCACAGATTTCTTACCTAGATTCCTCTCTTCTCTAATGTGCTCAGAATTTACAATGTGAGACAAGAAAATGAAAATTGGACATATGCTCATTCTTTGGAGCCCTATATCTGAAAATTACACAATACTGAAAAGATCCACAGAACCATCAGGTTTGGAAAAATTAAGTAATGTTTGCTCTCACCACCACGCCCCCAAGACAAAGTTTTTAAAAGGAAAAAGTCATAATAGAAACCAAAAAGAATGAGTGCATAAATATAAGATATTTTGTAAAAATAAAGATTAATTTTAACCCAACAGCTTTACTCTCCACCTCATTCTAGGGCATTCTTTTATCTTTTAAAGAGTGAGGTCCTTTAAGATAAATCTGACTGTGTTCTATCACAATCAGAGGTTAGCTCTAAATGTCTCTTTCAAACAGTGACACGTAAAAGGAAATTTTAAAAGATTTCAATTCACCTTTTACTTTCCCACAAAACTAATCCCTATTTAAAACAGTATTATAGCAAAATGTCATAAATGTTCCTATCTTATTGATCACAAAAGCATCTTGTATCAACAGTAGGTCATCAATATTCCTCAAAAAACTTAAACTCAAACTCATTGACATTAAATCAACAGGAACCCTATGGATAAAACTGTCCCTGTGGGTTTCCAAGACTGTAACTCTTTATGGGAGTAGAAAGCCTCATTCTTTCTCTCATCGAGTAGCTGGTGGTTTCAAACTGATAACCTCGAAATTAGCAGCTCAATGTGTAACCACTAAGACAATGTGGCAACTTAGAGTGATAAGTGTAGGTTCCTCTTCTATCTGACAGAACAGAGTGTGAATTCAAAAGAGAGTTATATTTGGCAAGTCATCTCCTCATATATTCAACTACTTTCTTCTTGCTGAGCATAAGAAATGAAAAAATTTCCCTGATAAGCTCAAAGGCATTTTTTGGCTTAGAGTGAGAACAAAATGATGAAATGAACTAAATTCTATATCCTAGTAGACAAAAAGACCTAGTCACTTAAATTTGAGACACATAAGTTAAGCATGCAAAATGCAAACTATTTAATCAGTATGCTTTGTGGATCCAAAAACAAGTTTGCTAACCGATATACAAGTTGAAGAGGAAACAGATTGAGTCCTCACTAAATGGATCCTTATTGTTCTACCAAATCCAGATGTCATCATTCTGGGGATGCCTGTTAATGTTGTTAATCTTATATCTTCAGCCCATAGCTCCAATACTCCCTGGGCTGGAAGAGGATCATTCCTACCTCCTGAAAGGAAGCACAAGGGACTGCTGTAAGCAGAAAATCTGTGGACCTTCAGAGTATGGGGAAGCTCCAGAGACATGGCTCCAAAGAATTTACTTACCTTCAGGGAATAGGTTTCCTACTAACAATTAAGGAAAACAGTGGCATTAACTGCAAAGTTTACCCTCGCCAATAGGATATCATCATCACAATTCAGTAATGCTATCTGTGATGTCTCAACTATTTACAGTTTAGCTTGCAACTTTATTACTGGTGTGTTTTCACACTATCAAATAATTGTTTCTAAGAAAGCTGTATTTCTTAACAGAGTCTTAAAGAATGATACAAAGGGTAACGCACCCAAATCCTACTCTGAATTTAAATAAAAACTATTATACTAGAAAAATTCTATTCAAAGAACAGGTAAGTATTGAGACCCTGCATATGATGCCCAGTTAAAATACTCAATGGTTCATGTATCCCTTTTCCCATTACAACTAACCAGAAATAAAAGCCTGTATCAAAACGCATAATACAGTACTGGGACACAGCAATTTCTCATTGAAACACATTCAGAATATCAATAAAGTCCTAACTTTTGTATAAATCATCAGTAAGTTTGAGGCTATCTCCAAAAAGATTGCTCTTTTCTCTGATCAATTTCCCAAGTTATTATTAGTGTTTTTGTCTGAACCTACATCCTTTCTGAGTATTTTCTAGTCTCTATGCCTAAGATTAACAAGACCCTTGATTCTGAGATTATCTAAATTGCAAGCTATAATGGATTCACTTAATAGTTTCACTACAAAGTTTCTGAGTGGTTACAATTTCTCAAACTAATTGTTAATTAACAAAAACAATAGAGAAAATGCTTACCTCTCAAAACAGCCGTCTTCACTATCACCACGGTCACTGCATGGCTCTAACAATATACCTACAGACTGACAAAAAAGAACACCATCATTGCATCAATGGAGCGGCCTACAATGACATATGCGAGTAAGTTTCCAATCTAAAGTAGGAGTATTAGATTGCAGGTTGGCCAAAGCCCCTCTCTAACTATCATTTAGTTTGAAGATATTGGAATCTCTTTTAATAGAGAGTAATTTATCCACCCTCAAAACCTGAGTCAGGCAACTTGCATTTATCTATATAATGTAACAGACACTACAACTATTATATTTAGTCTTCTTTAAAATTCATTCCTCCTCAAAATGTCTTCTTACTCCACTCATCAACACTGCTTCTATTTTAACCCTCAGCCACAAACAGGTTGGTGACCTGCCAGCAGGTAATAGTCAGATTTTCATTATACCTATTTCAAATATACCTTTAAAAGGTGTACTTATTAGGTATATTTGAAATAGGAACTATCTTTCATAATGGGAGGATAAGGGGGTATGCCACTCAGAAACACAAGAGGCCACTCCCTCATTTTCCACTGGACTTTGTGGTATCATCCACTTGGGGCTCTCCACTAAATAAAAACCTAGCAAGTCTAATACAAATGCTCTTTGCATTATAACAAAATAACAAAACCTTTGTATTTTTATGAACAGCTCTGAAATTCAACAAGAAGCTCAATTCTTCTAACAGTCTTATATTCTTACAAAACTGCCACTTAGCAAAAGAACTGAAAAGAAATTTCACTAGGGAGGAGACCTGTATGGCCAATAAACACATGAGAAAGTACTCCCAATCATTAGCCATAAGAGAAATGCAAATTAAAACAACCATGAGATACCATCTAACACCCTTGGGGTTAGCCCAAATCAGAAAATCAGAGAGCAACAAATGTTGGAGAAGGTGTGGCGGAATAGGAACTCTCTTCCACTGCTGGTGGTCATGCAGATATGTATAGACACTGTGGAAAGCAATCTGGCAATATTTAAAGAAAATGGAAACCGATCTACCTTATGACCCAGCTATCCCTCTAATGGGCATATACCCAGAAGAAGTAGGAAATAAAACACAACCAGTCCTCTGTACCCCAATGCTTATTGCAGTGCAATTCATAATTGCAAAGAGTTGGAAACAACCTAAATTTCCATTGATAGCTCAAGTGAATTAGTAAACTCTGGCACATACACACAGTGGAGTACTATGCAGCACAAAAAAGAACAGCCGATCAGTTGGAGGAAATTATGCTAAGCAAGAGTCAGCCAAACACAAAAGGACAAGTATAACATGAGTCCCTTAAAGTAAGTATAATCAGCACAGTAGGTATAGAAAAAAAGACACTTATCTCACAATATGGGCGGACACACAGGCATTTGGGTGGAGGTCAGACCAAACCCAAGGAGGTACATGTGAATCCAACATAAAGAAGGAGAAAGTGGGGAAGGAGGAGGGAGAAAAGGTGGGGGAGAAATTGAGATGATGGCATGGGGGGAACAGGGTCCTAACACACCCAGGGGGAGAGTATTGGTTGTGTCTCCACAGAATTGTAAGTGTGCACACAGACCCCACCATGATACACCAAACCGGTAGGGCAATGTAACCACATAGAGGATTGCATGAAAAGATGGGCTACAGGGCAGACCCCAACCAGAGCCAATCTGACCCCTGCCCTAGAAGTATGAGCCATAGAGAACAGCACCAAACCTTCAGGTGGAGGAAAGGAGCCGACTTACTATGCCCACAAGGAAGCAAACCAAGAAGGACAAAGAGAAAGGGACAGTGGGCCTAGACTCCATATTGGCACACCAAGCCCGGAGGATGATGTCCCTCCACGGAGCAGCTAAGGCACAGAGAGGGCTGTAGGACCGCCAACAACTCAAGACACGTTGTCTCCTAACTGGAGCACACTGTGATAGTGGAAAATAATGGGGACACTCGGCAGGGAGATAATGTGGCCTGAATCCCCGGCAGTGGGACATACCAAGAAAGGAGCATAACAGATCAGCAATTGGAGCAAAGCCAATCAACAAAGCCCCTAAAGAGCACCCCCAAATAGACTGTGCTAGGATGCGCACCCCCCAAAACTCCCCCAGGACTGGGGAGGAGATTCATAAAGGATAGCGGACAGACCTGGAACTATGTTGGGGTTTTTTTCTCTTTTCCTTTTTTCAACCTTTTGTTTTCTTATTGTTTGCAGTAGGACATTGGTTTGCCTACTTATCTAAGACAAAAATGGGAAGCAAGCTCGGGGACAAAGCAACAGGGCCAAAGGACCCAAAGGGTCTTGGGGGGAGAAAGTGGCAGGAGAAAGGGTATGGTGAGCAAACAATGCTATAGACACGGGAACAACTAGGAAATTAAAACCAACATCTAGGAGGTTGTAGAGATCCTGTGGGTATAAGGGCAACACCACTCTAGCTGAGAGGAAGTACTAAGAGATGGAAGAAGGAGGAACGTGATGGTGGGCAGGAGGAGGCAAAAGGAAACAAGAGGAAAGCTCTAGGAAATAAAGCTACAGCTAGAGATATTAACAAAGGTGTGTGCTTATGTAAATACATTAATCCATAAAAATAGAGGTATTGACCTATGTACATATATTTATCAGGCAATACACTGAGGCTGCAGATGGGCCTTGGGCCTCAGCTCATACCCTCCCTGAATACAAGAAGATTTTGTTCTAACAAAATGGCATTTTGTGACGCTCACCACCAGTCCTGCCTCCACCACCATCTCCACACACGATCTCTGAAGACAAAATGGGTGCATAAGTAAATGTGGTGAAGACCATGGATGGTGCGCGGTTATTAAATGATATAATGTATGGGATCTTAAAGGCTTGAAGTTACACAAGTAGCTATCCATCAGTGAAGCAACAAGCCCACATGAGGAAGCACACCAGCTGGTGCAATCATGAGGTATAATCAGGACCAGGTAACAGGCACCAGAAGATTCATAATAAGCAACAAACAAACAAACAACACCTTGGTGAGAATGAGGGGGGTCAAAGTGGAGACCCAAAGCCCATCTGTAGAAAATGGAACATCTCCCCCACAGAGGGGTCGTAGGGAAGGGATAAGTCAATCAGGGTGCAGTAGAGCACCGATGGATCACTCAATATGACTCTGATTCCTTGAGGCTTCCTCACCCCGACTCTCGCCACCCCCACCCCCACTATCATGACCCCAGTGCTGCTTCCCACTCTGGACTGAACTGGAGCATGCACATAGGTACAGGCAAGAGATAAAGCTTGCAACACACAGAATCCAGGAACAGGATTGGGGATAGCGATACCAAAGGGTAGGGGGAAGGGGTGGAGAGGAAGGAAGGAAGGAAGGCAGTACTGATTACAATGAATGGCCCATAACCACACACACCTCTCCAGGGGGAAGAACAACAGAAACCAGAGAGGAAGGGACACAGCGATCGGTGTGAAAAATGAAAATAACAACAATCTATAATCTATCAAGGGGCCACGGGGTCGGGTTGGGTGGGATGGGGGTGGGGGAAGAGGAGCTGATCCCAAGGGTTCAAAAGAAAGTAAATGTCTACAAAAGAATTATGGCAATATATGTACAGATATGTCTAATACAATTGATGTATAGATTGTAACAAGAGCTATAAGAGCCCCCAATAAAATTATCTCAAAGCCACCATCACTGGCTGTGGGGAACAGAAGGAATTCTCTTAAGTTGTCTCCCCAAAATATGTACCAAACTTAGCTGCTTAAGAGTGACTGTCGGCAAAAGTAGGTCAGAGGTTATTCTCCTTAACATTGGCCATCTGTAGTGGCTAGACTATTAGTCTGACTCACCCTGAATAAGACCCACTC